CATGGAGACAGGGCGGAATGCAGATTACCGCCCTGGCTCTCTGCATCTGATTTGCTCCAGGTTTGAACAAGCCCAGACGCTGGGAAAATGGAAATTTACCCCCCTACACACCTCCTCTTGAAAAGCAAAATCTGTCTTGAAAAGCAAAATCTGTCTTGAAAAATGGTTACAGAGGAGCTTATTTTAGCTTCAGTCTCTGGCCATTAGCTCGAGTCCTGCCCTGCTCTGCTTCCACTCTGAGGAGAAGTGCCCAGACTACCATTTATTTTAATTAATCCAGAGCAGTTTTGTGAGTGCCACATCCTTTCAGTGTGGTGTAAATTGGAAGCCCTAACTTCCCTAAGCACAAAACAGCAGCTCTCTTGACATGCAAATGCCTGACATGATCTCCCCACTGATCTCACAACACAGTACACTTCAGTTATCTCCAGCTTGTCATGAAAGCGCATCAGTTCAGGCTCAGGATATCTATGGGAGCTTTTCAGAAACAATATCAAGGGCAAATCTTTTCCATGGATCCAAATGGTTCCCACAACCAGCAGCAGGCACAGAGCAGTGCCCTGCAGAGCCTGAGTGCAAGGTCATCCTGAGTGTCCAAAGGCAACAGGGACACAGGAGGGACAGCAATGCCAGGTTAGCCGAGGAATCACGCACGGGCCAGGAGCTCTAAGCCTGGGTATTTTTCCAGTCCAAGCTGGAAATGACATTTCACATACATGTGGATGCCATCAGTACCTGCATCACTGCTCTCTGCCTGCCTGCCCTGCCAAACCCCACCCCGCTGTCCTTGTTACCTGCATACAGATCCACCAGGACCTCCCCGGAGCAGGACAGAGAGGCCACCCGCAGCTTCTCCGTGATGTTACCCGGTGAGAACATGCACTTGGTCACATCAAACGTGTACCTGGGAGATATCACCAGCCTGATGAGGGCAGCCCCTTCCCCACACCAGCCACATCCTGCACTGTGGCTCCTGCTTACCTGATCCCGTTGTCTACATGCTCCACCCAGCCATCCTGGCCCAGCAGCAGGGTGACACTGGGGGACCGCATCCCATCTGGCAACACCCGTCCTCGCCTGGCCAGCCGCTGGGCACCCAGAGCCGAGGCAACCGTCTCCCAGAGCACTGGACCTGCAACACACGCGTCCTACAAGCTTTGGGAAAGGCGAGGGCAGCTCTGCGGGCAGGATCTGGGCAGGCAAACCCTGCTCCCCCTTACCCAGCTTCTGCCATGACGCAGCCCTGAAGCTGTCCTCGCTCAGCAGGACCAGATCCCCATGCCGCTGCCAGGCACGGGGCACATCATGCGCCAGCTCCTCTGACCAGCTCTCGCCCAGCAGCCGCCGCAGCTCATCCTGCAGCTTCTGGGCAGGCGTCCGCCGACGGGCTGCCCTGGAGGGGACAGGGTCCTGTGGGAGGGATATGGCACGTGGGGCTGAGACCCCACCACCTCAAGGCAGGGCTCAGGGCAGGGGGATCTCTCCCAACCTGGATCTGGACCAGCTCACAGGGCATCTCCTGGGGCAGCCGCAGCTGGTCGAGCTTCTCCTCCAGCATGGGCAGGGCCACCCGGCCCCTTGGCACCTCCTGCAGCCGGTAGCGCCCATCCAGGAGCTGCTCCTGTTCCAAATGCTCCCTGCAAGGCCAAGGCAGGGACAGGGCCTCCCCTACAGCCCACCCTACCACAAGGAAGAGAGCCCCCAGGGGGGCAGGGCTGGCCCTTTGAGGTCTCCTCCCTGCCAGCCCTGCCTGCACCCTGCCAGACCAGTCATAGGGCTCCTGTTCCCCCTCGCCAGCTCACCTGAGGCGCTGGGCGAACCGCAGCTCCGTGGCCAATGCAGGGATGGAGATGGGGACATCCCTTGCCTCCATCGCCAGGACAGGGGGACGTCACCGTCTAGCAGGGACACAGCCACCTACCAGGCAGGCAGAGGGTGTCAGGCTCGCGAGGGAAAGAAGGGACCTGGGGCCGGTGGGGGTCCCTGGCACTGCTATGCTGGGGGGCATCGGAGCCCTGGCGGCACCCTGTGGTAGGGGGCTGGCTGCCCTGGCACCGCCACGGGGTGACCGAGGACGGGGTGACCGGGGAGGTGGGGTACCCTGGGGGATAGGGTGCTCCACGATGGGGCACCCAGGGTATGGGGTACGCCGGAGATGGGGTATCCCTTGGGGATAGGGTGCCAGAGGGAACGGGGTACCCTACAGGAGCGGGACGCCCGGCTGTGGGGGGTCCGGAGGACTGCGCCTCAGGGCCGGTGCCCGGCACCGCACCCCTGAGGCCGCGGGGCTGCCCCGGGGA